AATCTTGCATCCAAAATTAAGGTGTGATGCTCTATAACTTAAATTGCTTGGTTAATAAACTTTTATTGTATTATGTTTTTCATGGAAAAGTTTAATTTGTAAAGTTATCTAATATAAACCTATAAAATAACAAAATCATTATATTTTCTTTAAAAAAAATTTTTGTTACTTTTTAATTTTTTTTAATTTGTACCATTATTTTAAAGATAAAACCCATAAGACTTTAACTTTATTGTATCTATCAACATGAAATTTTTTCAATAGATTGTCAACATATTGGAACTCTTGAAATGAAAATTTTCAAAGTGTGAATTTGTGTTTGGTGTAAGAGATTGGTAGGTTACCTTTGGTAGTAGTATTTGTTGCTCAATCTACTGTAAATGTTTTCTATGTAAGGATGAAAGAGTTCACCTTGAAAGTATTTTGGAAATTTTGATTTCGATTTCCCTTTTAATTGTTTTACAAGTTGATATCTTACATTGGTGGATGATGATATTGGTTGTTGTTGAATCTTTATTATTGATATTTGCATGCTAAACTTCTCTTAGATGCATGGACATTGTTTATCTTATTGTTTAGCAAAAAAATTCAAGGCTATGTTTATTTTAAGTCATATAGATTAAATAAAAAATGCAAATCAACATTCATTATTTTACTTATTTTGAAAATATTACATATTTTTTAAAATATCATTATTCTTGTTTCCTGACGTAGTGCAAGCATGCATTCTAGTATAATATAAAAATACCCACTTACATAAAAATATTTCAACTACACTTGTCAATTAGATAAATTATGTATTGAAGTTTCATTTAATGTTAAATGTTAGATAGATGTTAGATGTAAGATGTTCGATAATAAAATGCCCAAGCTTAGGAACAATAATATTCATACATGTACAAACAAAAATTACACAGCCATTTAATTTCTTATAATTAAAACACATAATATTACAATTTTTCAAACATTTCTCTAAAGAAAATAAAATAAAACACATATTTTTTATTTTTATATATATCTTTTGAAATAATTTCATGAAATTAAATCATGCACATAAATAAAATTTTAAATAAAATTAAAAAATAAACAAAAAATAATATACCTTACAAACTATTCGATTTATCCAAATTCTGATGGGTTAAGGATGCAATTGAGTTGGATCTAGGCTACGGGTCCAATTATACCTTTTTGTATTTTTCTTATTGTTAAAGCTACATCGTTTTGGTCAACTAATAAAAAACTTAATCCTAAACCTTAGCTATATAGGGCAAAAAACTAACTGTAAAAGCATTATTTTCATTAAATTTGGTAATTTATATATTTATATCATATAAAATACTAATAATTTGTATATCCATGTCATGCTTTACACCAAAATTACCTGTCATAGTTTGTATTGAAATGAAAATATAAAATACATTTTTTTTGTTAAATTTATTTATGATTTTTATTAAAATTTTAAACATATCATTTTTGTATATTTTATTCATATTATTTTCATATTGTATCACCGTATTATATTTTAGATTGCCAAATTTATTTTTCACTATTTGTATCATCTTTCTTTCTTGCTCATTGTTGCCCTCACTTTTTATTCTCTCTTATTTCGATTGCTACCTTTTTTGTCTTTTTCTTTCTTTTTTTATATTCTCATTGCCTTTAATATCCCATCATTCTATTGATAACTAAACTTGTGATTGTCAATAATTTCCATCCTTATTTTTTCTCTCTTTCTTTTTATTTTTTCTTCTTTCTTTTGTTGTTCCTTACTACTATCTTCTCTTTTTTTTTTTTTTTAATTTTAGATTTCATTTACATATGCTTTCTCTTTCAATTTATATTTTTTTTAATTTTATTTTTGCATTTTGGTTAAGTTGATTTATGGATTAATATTGGTTTGATTTTTGTTTTCTTTGTGTTCTTTTTTTTTTTTTAATTTTTGGCTTACTTTTTTATTATATTTGAATTTGAATCATATTTTTATTTGGGTTATTTGATAATGAGTTTGAGATTTTTTAAAAATTTTTAGCTTATTTTCTGTTAAATTTGAGTTTGATAGATATTTTTTATTTTGGTTATTTGATGCTAAGTTTGAGAATGCTAGAGAATTTAATTGAAATTTGAAAATTTTTATTTGTTTTCTTTATTTTAATGTTTGTTTCTATCATTGACACTGTATAGATGACAGAGCTCGGCTTTGGCACCACCAGCATGGCCACGGTTGCTTTCATCCTTCATTTTTTTATCTTTTCCAATATTTTGTTGCAAAATATCCTTGTTGTCTTTAATAATTACAATAATATCATGTTAGTCCAAAGCGTAAAAATGATAACTTTAAATATGTCTAAAGGGTAAAACAATAATTTTAAATAATGGAGAGGTGTCAAGCATTGGAAGATAGTTTTAATATTTAGTTATTGATTATTGATTATTGATTTTACTCATAATTTTGAGAAGATATATATATATATATATATATATATATATGAGATAAAAGAAATGAACTTAATCATTATAAAATTACTAAGAGGAATTTATAAAGACTTGCATTATATTTGCCAACAACTTTGTAGTCTATTGATAAAGTGTTAGATTGTTAGTTTCAATAATTAGGGTTCAAATTTTTATAATTTTTAATACAAAAAAGACTTAAATCATATTTCAGAAAGCGAAAGTTATAACTGAATCAATCAAATCTTTTTTGGTATCAAATTCATTTAAATTAGGTCTCAAAAGAACTATATTTTTAAAATTAATATTATGAATAATCCCTAAATTATAATAAAATATTTAATATAGTACTTAAATTTTAAAAATCTTTAATATAATACTTAAACTATAAATTTTTTTACTAATTGATATTCATATTTAATGAGATCAACTTTAAATAATAACACTTGTATGATAAATAATTTTTTAAATATTATATCAACTAACATATTTATAATTCAAAAATTAAATTAAAATTTTTTTTGAAATTTAAATATCATATTAAACATCACATTATAATTTAAAAATCACATTATTCCTTCTCTTAATAAGTAAGTCACCTAACCAAGGTCATGTTTCTGTATATCTCTTTCCCAAATTAGAAAAGACAAGCTACAAAAGAATTTCGGCATCAAAATTGAAAAAGCAGTTGAAAAGATACAAAAGTATGTTGATACTTTTTAGGATACTAAGATAGAGTCCTCAGAACATTTTTTTTTGTAATTATTGCAAAAAAAAAAAAATTACAATTCACGAGTCCAATAGAAGTAAGACAATGAATGCGTTAATTCTATAAATAAATAGTTAATGCAAAATGACGTCAATGAGTACAAGCGAAACATATAAACATCAAATAGAACATTTCAATCAAATTAAAAAGTAGGAATCAAGGGATGGGAAATTATAGCATGCATCAAATATTTCGATGGGAATGAATCATGAATGTTCGTTATATTTTAAGTATTCATATTCTAATTCATCTATTCAATTTTTTTTATATTTAAATATGTATTCAATTAAATAAATACTATTCATTAAATATTTGAAACTATTAAAATATTTGATTGCTTAAGTTTTTCTTTTTGCTAAAATATAAATAAACAAAATTTAAATTTATTCTTAATAAATAACAACTAAAAATTGTTTGCTAAGATTCTAATCTTTTCACAAATATAAAATTTTACATATTTTTCATATATAAATAAATAACAAATTTAAATATAAATTTAGATATTTGAAATTATTCGTCAAAAATTAAACAGATTCGAATATTAAATATCTAATAATTGCTATCCATATTTTATCCGATCTAATATGGATAATAAATCTCTTATTGAAATTCATATATTATCCATTTATAAATATCTAAATTAAATATAATTAAATAAAAAAATATAAATATTTAATTATTTATTATCCTTTACAATTCCTAAGTTTTGATAATTTATTAATTATAGAAGATAATACACCCTTTAGATAAGATATTTTAATACGTTGATCACGTGGTATATATACAACAATTGCTTTATCACTTGGTAATATAAAATTTTTTAAATTATTACAATATGAATATAAAACTTTGAAGTATTAGGTTTAATTTTTATTGCGTGTGTTTAATTGTTTAGTTATATTATAATTTATTAGTTGATTATTTAATAATTACAATTTGATTATGATATAATACTTAATTATTCAATTAATTATATAAATATAAGATTTAATTATAATTATAATTTTAAAGTTACACGAAATCAACTAATGTGAATATGACATCTGGCCGAGGCATTTTAGCTTGGAATGTTAGGTAGTAGCGGTTATCTGTTAATTTTTTGAGCGATTAAAGAATAACATTTATAAACGCTACTGGTAATTTTTAAAATTGAGTTATTTAAATAAAATAAATTTAAAAAGTGAATAAAAATAATTTACCAAAAAAAAATATAAACAAAAACAGAGCAACCTCACTTCACATTTTAAAAAATTAAATTAAAAATTTTCATTATTTATAAACTTTTTTTTTTACAAAATCACTCATGAAAAAAAACGAGTGATTATTTAAGGGTAATAAAGAAAAATAAAAATTATTTTTCTTTAGCTTTTCAAATAAAACATTAATTTAAAATAATTAAAAATATGGAAATAAGATAATAGTAATAAAAGAAAAAAATGTAAAATAATAAATGCAATATAAATTATTATAAAACGGCAATTTAAAGTTGACTTGATTTCACTAATTTAAAAATTTTACCACATAACTTTAAATAACTTGAAATATGAATCATTTTTAAACTTTAAAATGCTCCTAATTAAAAAAAAAAAAAAAACTAACTCATATTCGAAATAACCAATTCATTCACAATTGTCACATGCAAACACAACCACTATTCTTGTTATCTAGAAATATTTTTGTTTTCGAAGAAGTCGGCAGGATTTATATTTTTCCCATCTACTTTTATGTCATTCCTCTGTTCCCTTATTTGTTTATTGTCTTTATTATTAACATTTGTTACATCTTTTCAGATAATTCCAGTTAGCAGCGGACAAGAAAAAAGCTTTTATTTTCAATAATTTTGTTTTTATAATTTTTATTATTTGAAGTTTTTGCTTGTGTCTTTGAGTGGCTTCCACCTGCACCACTTCCAAATCAAACCTCAAAATCATCCACGCATCGATGCAACGGATGACGTTTTCATTTCCCCACTAAACCAATCTTCTTCACAATTCATTATAGTCTCTTTTTCACCTTCAAATATCATGGAATAACTTCTTTTATGTTCTTTCTTCTTTCTTTCTTTCTTTCACTGGTCATAGATTATCAGAATTTGCCGTTTGTCGGAGTTTAGAGATCATGAAACCCACCAACCCTCTCTCTCTTTCTCGTTTTCTTTTAGAAGCGGAAAATCTTTCTACCTTAATGGAACTTCAGCTTTTTTCTTCTCCTTCTTCTATTCTTCTTGATTGTTAGATAGTTTTAGTTCCCTTTCAGTGATTGTCTGCCAAACCATAGCCCAAAAAAGGAAAAAAAAGGTACCCTTTTTTGGAGAAATTAATTATGCTTTAGATTGTCAAACTTAAAAGACCAGGTGTTATCTTGGGAAACAGGGTTCTTCTATTCTCGGGATGCTCAACACTTTCTGAGTAGCCAAACGAAAGAAGGCACAAAAAAAAAAAAAAAATCACTCTTGGTCTATCCTGAATTTCCCATCGGTACGTTACTCCTGACTTCGATTTTTTACTTCCAAGTTGTTACCTTCAATCGTTTATTATGGATTTTTTTTTCCTTTGTTTTTAAATTTTAACAACTGTAAAAAGGATGAAAATCAGCTTCCGATTTCCAAATCTCTTCATTTTCAGTTGGAAAGATAGTAGCTGGGAATTTTTCGTCAATGATTTTTTTCTTTCTTTCTTTATTTTTCTTTTTACCTCAATAAAGTTTTCTTTTTGTTAATAATTGGTGTATAATCCATTGTATAAGGAACCTAAAAGTTTGATTTGGGTCTCAAAAAATTGAGACGAACTTTAAAAAAGCTACTTTAAGTTGAATTGATTTCTGATTATTCCGAGAATTATTCATAATCACAACAACTAATCTGTGATAGAGAGAGACAGAGTCAGTGATTTTCTGTTCAAGAATCCTACTTTTTTATTCATTTCTTTGCTTTGCTTGCTGAACAAATCAAACCTATTTACCAAGAGAATGTAATGAGTAACTTCAAAGCCTAAGTCTCCATTTTTCTTTTCTTTTCTGCTACATTAATAATGATTAATAATAACAATGGTCATCCACAGCTAGAAACAAAATTGACGTTTCAACGTCACATCCCTTCTCTCTCTTGATCATCCAAAATCTACGTAATAGTTTGTTTATTTGAATTATTATTTGAGTAGTATTTGTTTCAATAAACTAATAATTCAGCCTTTTTGTGCATGTAATTGTATGTCTTTCGTTTTCAGCTGTTGTCAGGATGAGAATGGTTGCTATTGGATTTATTGGGAACGGATGTCAATAATTCAGCATCCAAATTCTGATTTCCTAGATACTAGAGATCCTCATTTGTATTAAATTACCATTATGCCTCTCAACAATTCCATAATGGCCAAACAGCCATTTCTCTCCACCCAATTCCTTGCCCTTTTCTCAATCTTGTTTTCTACTCTTTTCCCGCCTTATGTGTCTCTTACCGTTGAAACCCAAGCTCTTATTGACTTCAAAAACAAGCTCAAAGACCCTTTGAATATTTTAGATTCCTGGAAAGAATCAGAGTCTCCATGTAAATTCTTTGGAGTTAGTTGTGATCTGGTTTCAGGCAAGGTCACGGGGATTTCACTTGCTAACAAATCCCTGTATGGCGAAATTTCCCCTTCAATTTCAGTGCTTGACGGTCTTACCACCTTTTATTTGCCTGAAAATCTCATTTCTGGGAGACTTCCTGCCCTCCTAAACCATTGTACCAACCTCAGGGTTTTGAACCTCTCCAGGAATGAAATGGTTGGAATCATACCGGACCTTTCTGGGCTTAAAAACTTGGGGTCTCTTGATTTGTCATTTAACTTCTTTTCAGGCAGGTTTCCAAGTTGGGTAGGAAACTTAACCGGGCTGGTTCGTCTTGGTTTGGCCGGCAACCATCACGAAGAGGGTGAAATTCCAGAAAGTATTGGGAATTTGAAGAACTTGAGTTGGCTATTTCTAGCTAATGCCAATCTGAGAGGACAGATTCCAGAGTCTATTTTTGAGCTGAAGGCCTTAGGGACATTGGATATTTCTCGGAACTTGATTTCTGGGGATTTCCCGCGGTCGATTTCCAAATTGCAAAATCTTACCAAGATTGAGCTGTTTTTCAACAAGTTGACTGGTGAGTTACCACTAGGGATAACAGATCTTTCTCTCTTGCAGCATATTGATATCTCCTCGAATCAGATGCATGGGACATTGCCAGAGGAGATTGGAAATCTTAAGAATTTGGAGGTCTTTCAATGCTACAATAACAACTTTTCTGGAGAGATCCCTGCAGGATTTGGAGATATGCGTTTTCTTATAGGGTTCTCAGTCTATAGAAACAATTTTTCTGGGGAATTTCCTGCAAATTTTGGCCGATTCTCACCATTGGACAGTATTGACATATCGGAGAATCAATTTTCAGGTGACTTTCCCAGGTTCTTGTGTGAAAGAAGAAAACTAAGGTTGTTACTGGCTCTTGAGAACCACTTTTCAGGAGAGTTTCCGGATTCGTATGTTGACTGCAAATCACTGGAGAGGTTTAGGATCAGTAAGAACCATCTTTCTGGGAATATTCCAGATGGACTTTGGGCACTTCCTCATGTGAAAATGATTGACTTTGGTGATAATGACTTTACTGGAGGGATATCCCCCAGCATTGGATTTTCCATCAACTTAAATCAATTGGATTTGCAGAACAATAGATTTTCAAGTAACCTTCCATCAGAACTTGGTAAGTTGACAAACTTAGAGAGGCTTCTTTTAAATGATAATAACTTTTCTGGCAATCTACCTGCTGAGATTGGTGCTCTGAAGCTGTTATCCTCCTTGCATCTTGAGCAAAACTCACTAGCTGGATTTATACCACTGGAACTAGGTGATTGTGTTAGATTGGTAGACTTGAATCTTGCTAATAATGATTTGAGTGGCAATATCCCATCAACAGTTTCACTCATGAGCTCTTTGAACTCTTTGAATCTTTCGGGAAACAAACTTACTGGTTCAATTCCAAAGAATCTAGAAAAGTTGAAGCTAAGTTCCATTGATTTGTCTGAGAACCAATTATCCGGAAATGTTCCTTCTGATCTTTTGACCATGGGTGGAGATAAAGCATTCCTTGGGAATAGGAGGCTCTGTATTGACCAAAATTCTAAAACCCGTATGAATGATACTGTGTTGAATGTGTGCAAGGAAGAGCAGGGTCAGAAAAGGGTGCTTGGAGGTAAATTGATTTTCTTCATCATCATTGCAGTTGCTTTGCTTCTTTTTCTAGCTGGGCTACTGCTTGTGAGTTGCAAGAACTTCAAGCTTAGTGAAGCTGACATGGGAAACAGTTTGGAAGGCGAGAAGGGAGTAGATCCAAAATGGAAACTTGCATCTTTTCACCACATGGATATTGATGCAGATGAAATATGTAATCTGGAGGAAGAGAATCTGATTGGAAGTGGCAGTACTGGGAAAGTTTATCGACTGGATTTGAAGAAAAAGGGTAGTGTGGTTGCCGTAAAGCAACTATGGAAAGGGGATGGTCTGAAGGTTTTGGCAGCAGAGATGGACATTTTGGGGAAAATCAGGCACAAAAATATACTGAAGCTCTATGCTTGTCTAATGAAAGGAGGATCCAGCTATTTGGTCTTTGAGTACATGGCAAATGGTAATGTGTTCCAAGCACTTCGCAGAGAGAAAAAAGGTGGGCAGCCAGAATTGGACTGGTACCAGAGATATAAAATTGCCTTAGGAGCTGCACAGGGAATTTCTTATCTGCATCATGATTGTTCCCCCTCTATCATTCATAGGGATATAAAATCAGGAAACATTTTACTTGATGAGGATTATGAGCCAAAAATTGCTGATTTTGGGTTCGCAAAGATTGCAGAAAAGTCTCTGAAGGGATCTGAGTACAGCTATTTTGCTGGCACCCACGGTTATATTGCTCCTGGTGAGTTTCAAAGTTTTTTCTTTTTAGCAATGTTTCAATTTTTACATAGATAAAAATCTCAGAGATAATGCCCATTGAAATAACTTACTTGCAGAAAACTCTATTTCCTTTTTTCTTTTAAATCTTTTTCCAACAACATAATTACTGCATAATTTCTATTTTTGCCACGAGGAAAACTACAACTTGAATCTAGTCTTTAACTAAACCACGCCCCACCCTTTACTACTTGAGCTAAGCCCAAGTGGCATGGTTGCTTAATTTCTGAGAACTCTTTCAATAATACATGCATGGGGCTTTTAGTTAAAGAAACTTCCAAACATAATTTTTCAGTGTTGACTTTTAACCTTTGCAAGTTTCACTTTGCATCAACCATTATCAGTCTCTTCTATATGGATTTGATTGGTGAAGATGGATTGATACCAAGTCATTTGTGATATTGTTGATTGGGGTTATCTAAGTTGTAGTTGCATCGAATCAGATTGTATATTTCAATGTATTTTCATTTTTTTCTGCATCACTCTTTATAGATACATAATTTGTCCAGACATATATTAGTCAATCATGATGCTTTAAAAATCGGGATCCAGTTCTTGTCCAAGATTTTCTTAGGATTTATGAATATTTCAAGGTTTTTGAATAAGTTAATTTTTAAGTTGATCAAGAAAAATAGCAAAAATCAAAGAAAAAAGCCAAAACTCAACCTTAAAGTCAACTTAGTTAAACTTGTTGGAAATTGGTTGATTTTGGTTGAAACAGCATCAAATTTAGGGCACTTTGGAAGAATCAAACAAAGGTTTCTAAAAACTCTAAAGCAAATTTGAGTTGTGAGCAAAAAAAAGCCAAATAACCAAAATACCCCCGATGAAGTCTTAAGTTAAAGTTGGTCAAGATCAATCAAGATTACTTGGAATTGAACAAGTTTTGTCAAAGCATAATGATTAGAAAGAAAATCTGTCGAAAAAATAGAATTTTGAGTGGAAATGACCAAAATGCCCATTGGTCAAATTCGGTCAAACTCATATCCATCTTTGGAATTTGTGATTGACTAGGAATATTGAGGCTTACTGATGATAAAATTATGATTTGGTCTTTTAAAAATCTTGTTAGACCTCAAAAAGGGTGAAATTACAAAATGTCTTTTAGGGGCATTTTTGTAATTTAGTTTTTTTTAGTTAGTTTTTTGTAAAAAACTCTAATTCATATTTAAATATTATTTTATGAATTTTGATGTATTAAAAATCTTGATTGTACCTAAAAAGTGAAATTATCAAAATACTTTTTAAGGATATTTTTTAAATTTGGCTTTTTGGGTTAGTTTTTCACGAAAAGCTCTATATCATAATTAAACATATTTTTTATGAATTACAGTATAATAAAATTATAAAATCATTAGTGAAGCATAGGGTTTAAGGAAATTTATGAAAAAAGACTTTAATCACAAACAAGAGTAAATTTGTCTTTTTTTATAAAATCAATTGCATCAAGTGCCAAGATGTGTGCTATATTTTTTGCAAAGCAATTGGTAAAAAAGAGCTAAGATCCTATGGTCTATATTCCATTACTTGGTTTCCAAGTTTTTATGAAAAAGACAAAATGAGAACAATCCTTAGATGCAACTTGATCCAACGATTAAAAGGGGTGCTTTGGTTTCTTAAATAGATAAATATAGGGTTGGTTTCTAGTCTCCTTTTTTCCAACAACAAAAAATCCACCATTAAAAACATTCTTGAAAAAAATCTTTCTTGTAAAGACAATTTTCTTAGGTAGTTTTCTTACTTTTTATGCATTTTTCATCTTTATCCATATAGCTCTTTTCATTTCTTTGATGGTTTGTTGTTGGCTGCCATTATGTGCTTTATGCAAACTTATGATTATGTGTTTTTTTACTTTGTGATTTGTTTGTTATATGTTTTCTGATTTTAAAAAATGACTTTTTTCAACAAGTTATTTTTGTAATTTGCTATGTATTTGATAAATATTCTTGTACATGAAAATGGTTTTTTTTTCAATATGCTTTCTAAGTATTTGATGAAAATTAAAAAAAAAAAAAAAAGTATTGTAGGAATTTTCTAAGTGTTTGATGAAATAAATATGTGGCCTTTTACCATGTTTTTCAATTGTTTGTGAAATTGTCTTTATCACGTAATTATATAGTAAACTAATTGCATTCATCACTTGCGTGTAGTTTAATTTCATAATTAAATGATCATAAGCATTTGTATGAGAAAAAGTAAGAATTATGCTAATTAAACTTACTTCAAAAGTCTAACTAAATATTGGAGATTTATGAAAAAGTTTTAATTATCATTGATGCTTTTTTTTTCAAATTCTAAACCTACCTAAAATCCTAGTCAAACCCTAAACACTAAATCAAACTTTACAACTTTAACCTAATCGAATCCTAAAAAGCTAACCTTAGACCGCATCCTCATGCATTTACATTTCATAAATTGTTACATGCATTAGTATTCTTAAATTGTTATTGCATTCATGCATTTATATTTGTCATTCACCCTTTAATTGTCATGCACATATTATGTCTTGTTAAATATAGGGGATTATCAATAATTATCATTTATGAAAAATATTATCTTGATTTTATGGGACATTATGAAAATTTCCAAAATAAGGAGATATTTTTAGAATTTCACCTAAATATTGGGGAATGAAGGAAATGTTTCAATACTAACGATTTTTCATTTTGATCCAAAATAATTAGATTTGTTATAAAAAAATTCAAAAATAAAATGGTTTATTTTCAAAATTAAAATAATTTGATTTCAAAAAAATGATATTGGCAGGAACAAATGAAATTCAAATAATTAATTTTCAAATATTAAAGTTAGGATCATTTTATTAAAGCTCAAGAATCATATGCAATCAATTGATATCAATTTTAACAAGTGTTGTAAGGGTTGCTAATTTTTTTCACACGTAATTGATTACCAAACTTATCACATTTTTTGTAGACTAAACTATCTTTTTGATTAATTTTAAATTTATTTTATTATTTTATTAAAAAGATAAATTTTGTATATATTTCAAAAGCTTAAAGCTAAAGGCGTGGCTCATTCGCATGGTAATATATTTTTAGACTTAGCAAGGCATATCAATGTTTTGATAATCCTCTAGACAGATTCATGTTTAACCTGAAAGTTTCCCTTATTTCGCCATTATGATGGTGACAAAGCTGGTAAAAAAAAAACGTTTCGAATTGTAAGAAACTCATTACATGGTTTGGCATAAATATATAAAGATATATATATATATATATATGTAATGGTCAACTTTTGCTTTTTTAAGGAATATTTGTCTTATATATATTTTATTTGAGTTGGGTTTGTTCCTCTTAAATTTTCTTGGGCAGAGCTGGCATATACTGTAAAAGTCACTAAGAAGAGTGATGTGTATAGTTTTGGGGTGGTGCTACTAGAATTGGTCACTGGTAGAGGATCTATCGAAGAGGAGTATGGAGAAGGGAAAGATATTGTTTATTGGGTTTTAACTCATCTCAATGACCGCCAAAATGTCCTCAAGGTTCTTGACAAGGAAGTAGCCTTTGAAACTGTCCGAGACAACATGATTAAGGTCTTGAAGGTTGGCATCCTCTGCACAGCTAAACTTCCGAATTTGCGGCCTACGATGAGAGAAGTGGTCAAGATGCTTGTGGATGCTGAACCTTGCAGTTCCATGTCTCCAGATAACCAATCTCATGACAAAATTGGCAACTAGTTAGTTTCTCTGTTTGTACAACATATCTATCAAGGGTTCAAACTCTCTGATGGCCAAAATTTGATAAATATATAAAACTCTTGTTTTTAGAATTAATCAGGCTGTAGGTGTTCAAGCAGTTAAAGCTTTGCCACCGTAGATGGGGTTTCAAGAAATCATTTTGTTGGAATCTGACTGAAAGGTTATAATGCTTTTGTGCCTAAAATCATTCATATTTTTGGATTTTGATTCATGACTATATATATATACATGCGCTTGTTTAAATTTCTTTCTCATGTTCATGTACCAAAGAAACAGATGAAAATGAGAAATTGAATTTAAAGGATTTAATTACACATTTTAATACGTGAATTTTGAATATATATATATATATATAAATTGGATTTTAAAAGATTAAAATATATAATTTGCAATTTAAAATTTAAAATTATATATTATTTTAATTCAAAATTTAATATTATTAATTTAACTCATTTACATAATATCTAATTAGTATAATTTTATTATTTTTATATTATTTGTTAAATAAAAATGTTAAATATTTTTTAAAAATTTTATGTGAAAATATTGCGGATATCAAATGACATAATAATGGATTGGTCTTAGGTAATTTTTATATTTTAGGTAAAAATATATTTTTTATTTATATTAAAAAAATTAATTATATGTGTGATGAATATATAATTTGATAATATTTATTAAAAATTATATTTGTTAAATTAATATAATTAATGAGATTAGAGTTTAGATTATTATAAAATTATAAAATTATTATAAAAGTTCAAAATATAAATTATAAAATTATTTATATTTCCTAAAATTTAAATAAAAAATGCAATTAACTTAGTAAAAAAAAACCTTTATTCGTACAAGTACAACATGCCGATTACATGAAACATTTTGATGGGTGAGTTGGCACATGGCAGCAGGTCCAGAGCTCAACGTGATTGAAATGGTATAACAGTAAACAATTATTCTTAAAAAAAAAAAATCAGAAGACATGAAAGTTTTACAAAATAGTTTAATTCGTACACGTGTTTGTGAAAGCTTTTTGAAGTAAGAAGATATTTCGTAATTTTTTTAATGGATTTTTAAAGTAAACATACGTTTTATTTCGAATATGACGACGGTGCTGATATCGTTAAAATAATTAAGCATGATATTTGAAGTGCATCAATCAATGTCTTCATTTCATTCGGCTTGTCAACTAAGTGGATTGGCCTAGATTTGAGTCAAATTATTTTCGTTTGACTATTTTGAGTTTTAAAAAAATTATGTTATTTTAATTTTAGATTAAATTATTTGAGTATGAATTATTTTGAATTTAAATCATTTTAAATTTAAATTATTTTTAATTCAATTTAATTTGAGATTAAATCACTTCAAGTTGATTATTTTGGATTTGACATTTTTTGACTCGAATCGTTTAGGTTTAAATCATTTTGAGTTTAATTTATTAATTTTTAAAGTTAAATTAGATTAAATTTAAATATACTTTTTGATTAAGAGTGAATCAAATTTTATTATAATTTTATTAAAAAATAAAAAGTAAAAAATAATATTTTAAAAATAAATATAAATATTATAGCTTGTATACTTTAAATTAAAGTTAATTGTTATATAAATGAAAATATATGTGATTTTATCAAACTAAATAAATTGAAATACAACATCGTAATATGGTACTAAAATGATAAAACAAAAATCATTAGTTTTAGGAAAAAGGCATTCCTTGTTTAGTTGTATCATCACAAATTTTAACACATGTAAGACATAAAAAAATGTGTTTAATTAAATCGAACTATACAAGTGCATGTATAAGACACATGAAACATGTTTGTTACACTCGACACATTTAATATTTTTTATATTTATTTTAATTTAATATAAATATATAAAAAAATTATTTTAAATTTTAATTATAATACACAATTATATATTTAATATAATCATATAAAAATTATTTTAAATATTTAATTATGATATATATTTAATATGCAATTATTTTTTATATTACTAATATAACTACAATATAAATCATCATTTTAGTATAATTGTAACTCATTATTTAATAGTTTATTATTTTGGATTTTAGTATAATTTTAGCTTATTATATAATTTATTTTAAATTATATGATTAAAAATTAATAATATAAGTATAAAATAAAACATAATGTATATATACAAATCAATAATTTGTTTTATATACTTTATTATAAATTATATGATAGTTGGTACCTATCTATAATAATAAGAGATTATATAATTCATTCTAAATGATACATTGATACACACACACACACACATGGATACCCATGATAATTAAAATATATAATTTATTTTATAAATTATAAAAAAATTTACAACTAATATAACATATATATAATTTATAATAGTTTGATATTAAAAAAATATTAATTTGATAATTTCAATAACATTACTGAGTTTTCATTTTTGTTATATTTATTTTTTATATTATATTTATTATTTTTATTAAATTAATGTTTTCAAATAAAATTACACTTAATTTAGTCTCTAGTTATTTCGAATTAATTTTTCAAGTCATTTCAATCTTAGAATATTTTGAGTTTCAGCCAATTCAAGTTTGAGTTGGTTTAGGTTTGATTAATTGATTTGGGTTAGAGTTATTTTTTTATTTAGCAAGATTGGATTGTTGACTTTTTATGGTCAAATTGGGTTCGGTTGGGTTCTTGTTTGAATGATTTGAAAAGATTCTTAAGATTTGGACTAAAATTAATAGGTTTAATTTCAAAACATACTAAAATTAATATATTTTTTAAGGTATATATTATATATATAACATGCCCAAAATCAACAAAAATCATTAAAGATTATAATAAGAATTGAGATCAAAATCAAATTTATCATTTGCATTAACAAAATATTTTTAAAAATATTTTAATTCGATTATTTTTTGTTAAACAACAAAAACAAATTTGAATGTATTGTAGCAAAATTTAAATAAAAATGAAGGACAAATGAAAAATAACTATTAAAACATATTAATTGTAGTGAAAAAATTGATCTTATTCTCTAAAGAATTTCAATCTAATTTTTTTTAAGATAAACCAAACTTATTGGAACTATGAGACATTATTCATAACAAATGAGGATAAAACTCTTAATTACCAATATTTAATTATTTTTCTTTATTTGCTAGTAGAGGGATTAGTTGACCCTTTTGAAGAGATCTATAGTTCATCTTATTATTGAAGTCAAATGATTATGAGTCAAGGTGAATTTATACGTTAACCTCTAAATAATCTATATGGAAATAGCTTTAAAGAAAAATTTGTTAAAAATATTTTCAAAATATGGAAATAATATGATTAAGTAAAAAATTTAATTAAAGAGAAATCATATTAAGTTACAAATAACTTGAGCTATAGATCTAAGGCTTAAAATATCTAATTTGTAGATTGTATATGTAGGCAAATCCTTTCTTACTTTGTGATTTGTTTGTTATATGTTTTGTGATTTTAAAAACTGGCTTTTTTCAACAAGTTATTTTCGTAATTTGCTATGTGTTTGATAAATATTCTTGTCAATGAAAATGGTTTTCTTTCAATATGCTTTCTAAGTATTTGATGAAATTTTTTTTTTAAAAAAAGTAGTATTGTAGGAATTTTCTAAGTATTTGATGAAATAAAAAAGTGGTATTTTACCATGTTTTCCATTTGTTTGTGAAATTGTCTTTATCATGTAATTACATGGTAGACTAATTGCATTCATCACTTGCGTGTAGTTTAATTTCATAATTAAATGATCATAAGTATTTGTATGAAAAAAAGTAAGAATTATGCTAATTAAACTTACTTCAAAAGTCTACTTAAATATTGGAGATTTATGAAAAAATTTTAATTATCATTGATGCTTTTTTTTTAAAAAAATTCTAAACCTACCTAAAATCCTAGTCAAACCCTAAACACTAAATCAAACCTTAAACCTTAAACCGAAAACTTAATCGAAATCCTAAAAGCTAACCTTAGACCCATTCTCATGCATTTACATTTCATAAATTGTTACATGCATAAGTATTCTTAAATTTTTATTACATTCATCCATTTATATTTGTCATTCACCCTTTAATTGTCATGCATATATTATGTCTTGTTAAATATATGGGATTACCAACAATTATCATTTATGAAAAATATTATCTGATTTTATGGGACATTATGAAATTTTCCAAAATAAGGAGATATTCTTAGAAATTCACCTAAATATAGGGGAATGAAGGAAATGTTTCAATACTAAAGATTTTTCATTTTGAACCAAAATAATTAGATTTGTTATAAAAAATTAAAAAATAAAATGGTTTATTTTCAAAATTAAAATAATTTGATTCAAGAAAAATGATTTTGGAAGGAACAAATGAAATTAAAATAATTAATTATCAAATATTAAAGTTAGGATCAATTTTATTAAAGCTCAAGAATCATATGCAATCAATTGATATGAATTTTAACAAGTGTTGTGGAGGTGCTAATTTTTTTCACACGTAATTGACTTCCGAACTTATCACTATTTTTCGTATATTAAACTATCTTTTTGATTAATTTAAACTCATTTTTATTGTTTTATTAAAAGGATAAATTTTGTATATATTTCAAAAGCTTAAAGCTAAAGGCTTGGCTCATTCGCATAGTAATATATTTTTAGACCTAGGCATATCAATGTTTTGATAGTCCTCTAGACAGATTCATGTTTAGCCTGAAAGTTTCCCTTATTTCGCCATTATGATGGTGACAAAGCTGGTAAAAAAAAAACGTTTCAAATTGTAAGAAGCTCATTCCATGGTTTGAAATAAATATATAAATATATATATGTATATATATGTAATGGTCAACTTTTGCTTTTTTAAGGAATATTTGTCTTATATATATTTTATTTGAGTTGGGTTTGTTCCTCTTAAAATTTTCTTGGGCAGAGCTGGCATATACTGTAAAAGTCACTAAGAAGAGAGATGTGTATAGTTGGGGTGGTGCTACTAGAATTGGTCACTGGTAGAGGATCCATTGAAGAGGAGTATGGAGAGGGGAAAGATATTGTTTATTGGGTTTTAACTCATCTCAATGACCGCCAAAATGTCCTCAAGGTTCTTGACAAGGAAGTAGCCTTTGAAACTGTCCGAGACAACATGATTAAGGTCTCGAAGGTTGGCATCCTCTGCACAGCTAAACTTCCGAATTTGCGGCCTACAATGAGAGAAGTGGTCAAGATGCTTGTGGATGCTGAACCTTGCAGTTCCATGTCTCCAGATAACCAATCTCAAGACAAAATTGGCAACTGGTTAGTTTCTCTGTTTGTACAACATATCTATCAAGGGTTCAAACTCTGATGGCCAAAATTTGATAAATATGTAAAACTCTTGTTTTTAGAATTAATGAGGCTGTAGGTGTTCAAGCAGTTAAAGCTTCGCCACCCTAGATGGGGTTTCAAGAAATCATTTTGCTGGAATCTGACTGAAAGATTATAATGCTTTTGTGCCTAAAATCATTCATATTTTTGGATTTTGATTCATGACTATATATATATATATATATATGCACTAGTTTATGTTCATGTACCAAAGAATCAGATGAAAATGAGAAATTGAATTTAAAGGGATTAATTACACATTTAGTACGTGAATTTTAAAATATATATATATATATATATCAGATTTTAAAAGATTAAAATATATAATTTGTAATTTAAAAATTAAAATTATATATTATTTTAATTTAAAATTATTAATTTAACTCATTTACGTAATATCCAATTAGTATAATTTTATTATTTTTATATTATTTGTTAAATAAATATGTTAAATATTTTTTAAAAATTTTATGTGAAAATCATGTGAATATCAAGTGACATAATAATGGATTGGTCTTAAGTAATTTTTATATTTTAGGTAAAAATATATTTTTTATTTATATTAAAAAAGTTAATTATATGTGTGATGAATACATAATTTAATAATATTTATTAAAAATTATATTTTTTAAAGTAATATAACTAGTGAGATTAGAGTTTAGATTAATATAATAAATAATTTAAAAATTCAAAATATAAATTATAAAATTATTTATGTTTCCCAAAATTTAAATAAAAAATGTAATTAACTTGGTTAAAAAAACCCTTTATTCGTACAAGTAAAACATGCCAATTACATGAAAAATTTTGATGGGTGAGTTGGCACGTGGCAGCAGGTCTAGAGCTCAACGTGATTAAAATGATATAACAGTAAACAATTATTCCCAAACAAAAAAAATCAGAAGACATGAAAGTTTTACAAAATAGTTTAATTCGTGCACGTGTTTGTGCTAGCTTTTTGAAGTAAGAAGATATTTCGTAATTTTTTTAATGGATTTTTTAGGTAAACATACTTTTTATTTCGAATATGACGACAATGCTGATATCGTTAAAATAATTAAGCATGATATGTGAAGTACATCAATCAATGTCTTCATTTCATTTCGGCTTGTGAACTAAGTGGATTGGACTAGATTTGAATCAAATTAATTTCGTTTGAATATTTTGAGTTTTAAAAAAAATTGTGTTATTATAAATTTAGATTGAATTATTTGAGTATTAATTATTTTGAGTTTAAATTATTTTAAATTTAAGTTATTTTTAATTTAGTTTAATTTGAAATTAAGTCACTTCGAGTTTATTAATTTGGATTTAACACATTTTAATTTGAATTATTTAGATTTAAAATATTTTGAGTTTAATTTATTAATTTTTAAAATTAAATTAGATTACATTTAAATATATTATTTGATTAAGTGCGACTCATATTTTATTATAATTTTATTAAAAGAAAAATGTAAAAAATAATATTTTAAAAATAAATATAAATATTATAATTTGTATGCTTTAAATTAAAGTTAATTTTTATATAAATGAAAAAAAATATGTAATTTTATCAAATTAAATAAATTAAAATACAACACCATAATATGGTATTAAAACGGTAAAAAAAAAATCGTAGAGTTTTAGAAAAGAGGTATTCCTTGTTTAGCTGTCTCAACACAAATTTTAACTTATGTAAGACACAAAAAAATGTGTTTAATTAAACCGAATTATACAAGTGCATGTATAAGACACATGAAACATGTTTGCGGTGTTCGACACAATTAATATTTTTTATATTTAATTTAATTTAATATAAATATATAAAAAATATTTAAAATTTTTAATTATAATACATAATTATATATTTAATATAATCATATAAAATTATTTTAAATATTTAATTATGATATATATTTAATATGCAATTATTTTATATATTACTAATATAACTACAATATAAATAATCATTTTAGTATAATTGTAACTCATTATTTAATAGTTTATTATTTTTTATTTTAGTATAATTTTAGCTTATTATATAATTTATTTTAAATTTTATGATTAAAAATTAATAATATATTTAAAACAAACATAATGTATATATACAAATCAATAATTTGTTTTATATACTTTATTATAAATTATAGATAGTTGGTACCCATCAATAATAATAAGAGATTATATAATTCATTCTAAATCATACATTGATATATATATATAATATTATATATATATATATATATATACATGGATGCCCATGATAATTAAAATATATAATTTGTTTTATAAATTATAAGAAATTTTACAACTAATATAACATATATATAATTTATAATAGTTTGATATTAAAAAAATATTAATGTGATAATTTCAATAATATTACTGCATTTTCATTTTTGTTATATTTATTTTTTATATTATATTTATTATTTTTATTAAATTAATATTTTCAAATAAAAATTATACTTAATTTAGTCTCTAATTATTTCAAATTAATTTTTCAAGTCATTTCAATTTCAGAATATTTTGAGTTTGAGCCAATTCAAGTTCGAGTTGATTTGGGTTCGAGTTGGTTTAGGTTTGATTAATTGATTTGGGTTTGAGTTATTTTTTGTTTCGGCAAGATTGGATTGTTGACTTTTTATGGTCAAATTGGGTTAGATCGGGTTTTAGTTTGAATGAGTTGAACAGATTTTTTATATTCAAACTAAAATTTATAGGTTGAATTTCAAAACATACTAAAATTAATATATTTTTTAAGGTAGATATTATATATAAAACATGCCAAAATCAATACAAATCATTGAAGATTATAATAAGAATTGAGGTTAAAATCAAATTTATCATTTGCGTTAACAAAATATTTTAAAAATATTTTAATTTGATTATTTTTTGTTAAAAAACAAAAACAAATTTGAATGTATAATAACAAAATTTAAATAAAAATGAAGTACAAAAGAAAAATAACTATTAAAACATATTAATTGTAGTGAAAAAATTGATCTTATTCTCTAAAAAATTTCAATCTAATTTTTTTTAAGATAAATCAAACTTATTGGAACTATGAGACATTATTCATAGCAAGTGAGGATAAAACTCTTAATTACCAATATTTATTTATTTTTCTTTATTTGTTGGTAGAAAGATTAGTTGACCCTTTTGAAGAGAGATATATTCATTTATTATTGAGTCAAATGATTGTATGAAGTTAAGGTGAATTTATAAGTTAACCTTTAAATATCTATATGGAATAGTTTGGAGAAAAATTTGTTAAAAATATTTTCAAAATATGAAAATAATATGATTAAGTAAAGAATTTAATCAAAGAGAAATCATATTAAGTTACAAATAACTTGAGTTATAGTTCTAAGGCTTAAAATATCTAAATTGTAGATTGTTTGAGTAGGCAATTGACAGCTATGCACATAGGAATAGATTGTCTTAGATTTCTAGGAAGAGTAATTGATTGCTATTGGCATGGAGTTAACTATTTTGACAAATAAAAGATAAATATAGTTTTTTTATAAATTAGCAATTGACTGCTAGACTAGGGCAACCGATTACCATGGCTGAAAGTTAGATAATGTGGTGTCTAACCTTAAAAGAATCAACTGTTATTAATTAAAAGTCTTCTAGAATTTGAGTTAGCCCATAATAGTCAAATGCCATCAAAAAAAAGTCAACTACTTTAATAGATGAACCATTTTGGAAATGAAAGAAGTTGACTACTATGTGAAACAATTGATTGCTCACGTGACAAATACATTTTATAAGTTGAAAGGTATCTATTGTTCTAAAAATGAGTCAATTGCCTTGCTTTAGATAGCATTATGGAATATGAAAATATAAAGAAGCAGCTAACTGTCATATAGGTGAAGTCAACTACTTTGCAGGAAAAGTTATCATTTTTAGAAATGTGAAAAATCATTTTTAGAAATGTGAAAAATCATTTCTCTCGATATGAAAAGTTTGATAAGTTTAATGAACCAATTTGTCTTTAATTATTTAGAAGGACATTTTTCTAATAAAAAAAGTGTTATATGACTGAAACAATACAATTAAAGAGTCACAATCTTAGGATTCAATCTTTATAAATAGAGATTGTTATGGGTTCATTTGAAATATTCAGACATTCATGTGTCTTTCTTTTTTTTCTCTCATTCTTTCACAAATAAAGGTTTGTTTCTTTAGCATTTTTTTCTACAAAAAATCTTGTGAAAGACAAGGTATTTTTGTCTGTCATTAAAGTGTTTTTAATGGTTTGATTTTTGTTAGTGCAAGGTAAATTAAACATAGGTTTCATTGTTTCTTGGAGGCATTTCGATTTAACCTCTTTTGCATACCATCATAGTTTGGGGTAAGATAAGCCTTAAGGACAATGGCATTAGCAGCATGGTTTGAAGCCATTTTTAGTTTACATTAAAGTTTCCATTTTGTTTTGCTCAAGATGCAGAGGGAGAGTTACTAGAAGACTAGAAGATTAGAAGTTCTTCAGCAAAGTTCACATTAATTTTGTCTTCCTAATCATTGTATTATTCTAACAAAATTTCCATAAGTTGACTCATCCTTGTGTCTAGATGACTAGCTATAAATAATCACATTATTTTAATATTTAATCAAACCCATCCAATATGAGAGTAAATAAGACATTAAATTCATTTTTAATTCTAAAAAGGAAAATAGAATAGTTTAAACTTAATTTTAATTAAAACATAAAGTAAATGACTATATCTCTTGCATTTTGACAAACATGTTGGCTTTGGCCCAAAAGTTCACTGGGTCACTAACATAATTTAGCTTAAACTAAAATTGACCTATATACAGATGCTAGCTCAATCCTGCTTAATCGAAGTCCATAGATGTGATGTTGCCTTCTCAAGCTTTATGTGGCCGCCCTTCAAGCTCTAAACATAAACCTACATAGGAAAGGAGAGAAAACTATTATTTACTTCTAGATACTGAAGCTATGAAACATAATGGGCATGCCTCATATATATATAAAGGTGAGAGTAGGGATTTTTCCTAACATGTTGTCAAAATTGACACATCCCATAATGGGTCCAAATAT